ACCTGTACCTGAGTACACATCACCTGTACCTGAGTACACATGACCTGTACCTGAGTACACATGACCTGTACCTGAGTACACATGACCTGTACAGTACAGCAGGTTAGAACACAGTATTTACCACTTGTTGTCAGTTTGTGTTTTTTTCGTTGTTTGTAATTTGACTGCAGTTTTAGCTGTTTAATATGTGTGTGTGTGTGTGTGTGATACTGTGTGTGTGTGTGTGAATGTGTGTGTGTGTGTGTGTCAGTGTGTCAGACAGGGTGTGGGTCGGTGAGGATCAGTCGGTGTTATTGTCGGTGTCAGCACAGAACGATGGTGAGGGAGCGTACGAAACTGAGCTGGTGGTCCTAATCCCTGAACACACACACTTCCAGAGCAGTCAGGTGACACACACAGTAATACACACACAGATACACACAGTAATACTCACACAGATACACACAGTAATACACACACAGATACACACAGTAATACACACACAGATACACACTGACACAAACAGACTGAGGATGATGATGTTCGGTGGGTGTTGTGTGTTGCAGGGTGAGAACAGACTGGTGTGTGTTCAGAGGAAACAGAATCAGACCGTCATCGTGACCTGTGACCTCGGAAACCCCATGAGACAAGGACACACTGTAACACACACACACACACACACACACACACACACAGTTTCCTGTCAGGTCACAGACACTTCAGATATGTTACTCTACTGTCTGTGTCAGAGGAAACTCTTTACTGCTCTGCATTAATCTGATATCAGACAGATTACTCTGCAGAGTACAGTTACTGTCAGTAGTCTGAGTACAGTTACTGTCAATACTCTGAGTACAGTTACTATCAGTACTCTGAGTACATGCTGATACCTCTGTACTCTTTCTGTGTGTAGCTGCAGACACGTCTTCTGTTCAGTGTGGGCTGTCTGGAGGAGGTGGAGCATCACATCACCTTCAACCTCAGGATCAGAAGGTACAACCTGTCTGTCTGTCTGTACAAACTGTCTGTCTGTCTGTCTGTCTGTACAAACTGTCTGTCTGTCTGTACAAACTGTCTGTCTGTCTGTCTGTCTGTACAAACTGTCTGTCTGTCTGTACAAACTGTCTGTCTGTCCAAACTGTCTGTCTGTCTGTCTGTCTGTCTGTACAAACTGTCTATCTGTCCAAACTGTCTGTCTGTCTGTCTGTCTGTCCGTCTGTCTGTACAAACTGTCTGTATTTAAATCACTTTACAACACTATGATTTACACATCTGTCTGTCTGTCTGTCTGTCCCTCAGTAAGAACTCAGTGAATCCCAACAGTAACGAGGTCACAGTGGAGGTTCGGGTCGTTGCTGAGGCGTCACTGGAGATCAGAGGGTAAAACAAACACGACGTCTGAGGTCACTTCCTGTTGATGTTGATTAATGTCACTGTTGTTCAGATTTTCAGTCCTCTGTCTGTACGTCCATCATCCTCACTGTGACCTCGTCACATGGACTTCCCACGTCCACATATGACGTCCAAGGTACCCTGGGTGTGTTGGTTGTTGACGTTCTGGGACGCCGTGTCAACTTCAGCCTGTTACATGCATTGTCTGTTTTCAAAATACACTTCTGTTTTCACAGGAAATGTACAGTTTGCATACAGTCTCTTTCAAAATAAAAGCACTACGTCGGTACAACACCACCAACTGATGTTTTTTTCCTGGTTACGTTTAGCCAACACACACACGTGGTTACGTTTAGCCAACACACACACGTGGTTACGTTTAGCCAACACACACACACACGTGGTTACGTTTAGCCAACACACATACGTGGTTACATTAGCCAACACACACACGTGGTTACGTTTAGCCAACACACACACGTGGTTACGTTTAGCCAACACACACACGTGGTTACGTTTAGCCAACACACACACGTGGTTACGATTAGCCAACACACACACGTGGTTACGTTTAGCCAACACACACACGTGGTTACGTTTAGCCAACACACACACGTGGTTACGTTTAGCCAACACACACACGTGGTTACGATTAGCCAACACACACACGTGGTTACGTTTAGCCAACACACACACGTGGTTACGTTTAGCCAACACACACACGTGGTTACGTTTAGCCAACACACACACGTGGTTACGATTAGCCAACACACACACGTGGTTACGTTTAGCCAACACACACACGTGGTTACGTTTAGCCAACACACACACGTGGTTACGTTTAGCCAACACACACACGTGGTTACGATTAGCCAACACACACACGTGGTTACGTTTAGCCAACACACACACGTGGTTACGTTTAGCCAACACACACACGTGGTTACGTTTAGCCAACACACACACGTGGTTACGATTAGCCAACACACACACGTGGTTACGTTTAGCCAACACACACACGTGGTTACGTTTAGCCAACACACACACGTGGTTACGTTTAGCCAACACACACACGTGGTTACGATTAGCCAACACACACACGTGGTTACGTTTAGCCAACACACACACGTGGTTACGTTTAGCCAACACACACACGTGGTTACGTTTAGCCAACACACACACGTGGTTACGATTAGCCAACACACACACGTGGTTACGTTTAGCCAACACACACACGTGGTTACGTTTAGCCAACACACACACGTGGTTACGTTTAGCCAACACACACACGTGGTTACGATTAGCCAACACACACACGTGGTTACGTTTAGCCAACACACACACGTGGTTACGTTTAGCCAACACACACACGTGGTTACGTTTAGCCAACACACACACGTGGTTACGATTAGCCAACACACACACGTGGTTACGTTTAGCCAACACACACACGTGGTTACGTTTAGCCAACACACACACGTGGTTACGTTTAGCCAACACACACACGTGGTTACGATTAGCCAACACACACACGTGGTTACGTTTAGCCAACACACACACGTGGTTACGTTTAGCCAACACACACACGTGGTTACGTTTAGCCAACACACACACGTGGTTACGATTAGCCAACACACACACGTGGTTACGTTTAGCCAACACACACACGTGGTTACGTTTAGCCAACACACACACGTGGTTACGTTTAGCCAACACACACACGTGGTTACGATTAGCCAACACACACACGTGGTTACGTTTAGCCAACACACACACGTGGTTACGTTTAGCCAACACACACACGTGGTTACGTTTAGCCAACACACACACGTGGTTACGATTAGCCAACACACACACGTGGTTACGTTTAGCCAACACACACACGTGGTTACGTTTAGCCAACACACACACGTGGTTACGTTTAGCCAACACACACACGTGGTTACGATTAGCCAACACACACACGTGGTTACGTTTAGCCAACACACACACGTGGTTACGTTTAGCCAACACACACACGTGGTTACGTTTAGCCAACACACACACGTGGTTACGATTAGCCAACACACACACGTGGTTACGTTTAGCCAACACACACACGTGGTTACGTTTAGCCAACACACACACGTGGTTACGTTTAGCCAACACACACACGTGGTTACGATTAGCCAACACACACACGTGGTTACGTTTAGCCAACACACACACGTGGTTACGTTTAGCCAACACACACACGTGGTTACGTTTAGCCAACACACACACGTGGTTACGTTTAGCCAACACACACACGTGGTTACGTTTAGCCAACACACACACGTGGTTACGTTTAGCCAACACACACACGTGGTTACGTTTAGCCAACACACACACGTGGTTACGTTTAGCCAACACACACACGTGGTTACGTTTAGCCAACACACACACGTGGTTACGTTTAGCCAACACACACACGTGGTTACGTTTAGCCAACACACACACGTGGTTACGTTTAGCCAACACACACACGTGGTTACGTTTAGCCAACACACACACGTGGTTACGTTTAGCCAACACACACACGTGGTTACGTTTAGCCAACACACACACGTGGTTACGTTTAGCCAACACACACACGTGGTTACGTTTAGCCAACACACACACGTGGTTACGTTTAGCCAACACACACACGTGGTTACGTTTAGCCAACACACACACGTGGTTACGTTTAGCCAACACACACACGTGGTTACGTTTAGCCAACACACACACGTGGTTACGTTTAGCCAACACACACACGTGGTTACGTTTAGCCAACACACACACGTGGTTACGTTTAGCCAACACACACACGTGGTTACGTTTAGCCAACACACACACGTGGTTACGTTTAGCCAACACACACACGTGGTTACGTTTAGCCAACACACACACGTGGTTACGTTTAGCCAACACACACACGTGGTTACGTTTAGCCAACACACACACACGTGGTTACGTTTAGCCAACACACACACCTGGTTACGTTTAGCCAACACACACACACCTGGTTACGTTTAGCCAACACACACACCTGGTTACGTTTAGCCAACACACACACACACACACACACGTGGTTATGTTTAGCCAACACACACACGTGGTTACGTTTAGCCAACACACACACACACATGGTTACGTTTAGCCAACACACACACGTGGTTATGTTTAGCCAGCACACACACACACACACGTGGTTACATTTAGCCAACACACACACGTGGTTACGTTTAGAAAAAAAGAACAGGGTTTGGCTTTACAATCTTACAGGAAGTGAACAGCGGCCTCCAGGGTAAAAGTGGTGGTGGTGGTTGTTGGACCCATCCCCCACCCCTCCCTCTCTACTCAGACTGCTGCCACCTTAACATGTCCGTCCGTTCTGCAGTACGTTGTGGCCGGCATGCAGCGGTGCGACTCCTCGGTGCAGCGGCAAATAAATGGCACCTTGTCACCACAGAGAGTCGGTGTGAGCTGATCTGAGGATTCATAAACAGCTACTGAAGCTGCAGTCTAGTCGCCATGGTGACAGATTAGGGTGATGTTTAACCACGCCCCCCTTTCTGTGTTCTGTGTGTCACCTCTCTCTGGACTGAATGTGATGATGTCATTTTGTGTCTATAGAGGCTCCTCCCCTCCAGAGGTGGTTCTCCCCCTCCCTGACTGGCCGCCTGCAATGCATCCTGGGAGTATAGAGGAAGTGGGTCCACTGGTGGAAACCGTTTATGAGGTGAGATGAGTTCTGTTGATGACGAGACCAGAACGAGCCGCCCATGATAACCTGTCAGACCTATCACCAACCACACCGATCACATGGATCATACTGATCAATATGGTCATACTGATAACTAATAACACTAATCATATTGGTGTGTAGCTGAGGAACCACGGTCCCAGCGCGGTCAATGCCCGGCTGACGGTGGACTACTTCTCCACCTGGCGACATCACTTCCTCCTCTACGTCTTCTCCAACGCCTCCGAAGACTCACTGACCTGCAGACCCCTGAACGCATCACAGATCGACCCCTTCAAGGTTGGACCCTGTCTGTCTGTCTGTCTGTATCGGTGTGTCTGTGTGTGTGTGTGTCTGTGTGTCTGTTTGTCTGTGTGTGTGTGTGTGTCTGTGTGTCTGTGTGTGTGTGTGTGTGTGTGTCTGTGTGTGTGTGTCTGTCTGTCTGTGTGTGTGTGTGTGTGTGTGTGTGTCTGTGTGTCTGTCTGTCTGTCTGTATCGGTGTGTCTGTGTGTGTGTGTGTGTCTGTGTGCCTGTGTGTCTGTGTGTGTGTGTGTGTCTGTGTGTCTGTGTGTGTGTGTGTGTGTGTGT